CACGAACACTTATTATCAGCAGATTCTGCAGGTCAGAATTTGGGAGCCTTAGGTAGATGTTCTGGCTCAAGAAACTTGTGAGGGTGCAGTCAAGATGTTGACTGGAGCTATAGTCATCTGAAGGCTTGAGTGAGGAACAATCTAGATGTCCCACTCATGTGGTTGTTGGCAAGAGGCCCCAGTTCTTCTCCAGAGGCTGCATAATTTTCCTCACAAGTGAGCCAAGAGAGAAGGACAGGCATAAGCCATAATGTCTCTAAAACCTAAGCTTAAAAATGACATACCACCCCTTCTACTGTATTCTTTTGATTACATAAACCAATCCTGTGACAATGCAGGAGGGAACTACACAAAGGCATAAATACTAGGAGGTGGAGGATTATTGGTGGCCATCTTGGAAAATCACTACTCTAAAAGTCTTAACCTGGAGAGCAGGGAATGCTTGGTTAGTGATTAATAAAGCTTTTCTTAGTCTCCCAGTTGAGTATGCATTCATGTATACATGTCTGTCTATCTTTCTATATATCTATGTATCTATGTGTCTATCTATCTATCTATCTATCTATCTATCTATTTACCTATCATCATGTCTATAGAACCTCCCAGGGAAGACTAGTGAATGGTAAAACTTGGGCTGAGATCCAAACAATAACAAATGCAGGATAGAGAAGGTGTAAGAGAACTACCTTGGGGACAACCGATCTTTACAATCCATAAGTAGATGGTCTTTTCCATCTGATGTTGTTCAAAGCTTTAACTTAACTCAAAGTTTGTATCTCTGTTTTCATCACCACTAGACATAGGGGAGGGCTACTAAATGCTTTGAGCAAATCCAGTTCATCCAGGGAACAGCATGGAATGAACTGTCCAGGCACCTTTGTTACTTCTTGAAGTATATACATCTCAGGTTGTATGTATATCTTAGCAGCTCTACATTAATGACCAAGGCCTTAGTTTTCATGCTCTTCTTGAAGTTCAGCCCCACGTTGGAGGTCTTGCTGCTCTTGACACACTACAGATTATTCTTCTGTTTAAAATATCCCTTCCCTCATCCCTGATTAGAAACCTTTTTAAATTTTTTTTATTAATATAGCCACTCCTACTCCTCTTTGGTTATCATTTGCATGGAATTTTTTTATTATAATTTTTATTTTTTTATTTATCTTTTAGGAAGATTGTCTCTGAGCTAACATCTATTGCCAATCTTCTTCTTTTTGCTTGAGGAAGATTGTCCTTGAGCTAACATCTGTGCCAATCTTCCTCTATTTTGTATGTGGGATGCCACCACAGCATGGCTTGATGAGAGGTTTGTAGGTCCATGCCCAGGATCTGAACCTGCAAACCCTGGGTTGCTGAAGCAGAGAGCATGAATTTAACCACTACACCACCAGGCCAACCCCTTAGAATTCTTTTAATCTTTCAAAGTCTATGGCAAATACTATTCATTTCATGAAATCTCCAAAGTGAAATAACCTCTGCATTCTTCATCTCTACATTCACCATAATGTTTTCTACTGTCCTTTAGTGGCACTGGTGATGACAATGATGAGGATAATAATAATCGTAATAACACAGCAGGTATAAACACTTCAATAGTTTCCATTGCCAGGCATTGTGCTAAGTACTTTATATGCCTTCTCCAACATATTATGAACCAGGCATAGTAATGATCCTCATTTTTGGAATAAGTAAATTGAGATCCAAGAAGGTGAAGCAATTTGCCCAGGACCACATGCTAATAAGCTATAGAACAAGGACACAAATGTTTGGGTCAAAGCTTATACTTTTTTTTAAAATATCACATCAATGGTTTTAAATTTATATATGCTGTAACAATTATATTTTGAGGAAAATTTATTTAAAAGAAATGTACAGACTTTAATGTCTGTACATTTAAGTACACAAGTAAATGAACTTTAATAAGAATGTAAGCATCAACTCAATCAAAATATCAAACATTTCTATCACCCCAGAAAGTTCCTTTATGCCTCTTTTTGCCAATTCCCTCCCCCACACTGAGAGATAAGCATTCTTATGATTTTTATTACCATAGATTAGTTTTGTCTGTTTTTGAATTTGCTATAAATAAACTAATACAGTATGTACTGATTTATTTCATTAAAAATAATTTTTCTTGAGAGTCATTCATGTTGTATCAGTAGTTTATTCCTTTTTTATTATAGGGTTATATTCTATTATATATAATATTATGTATATATATTCTATTCTATATATATATATAATATTATGTATATATATTCTATTCTATATATATATATAATAGGTTATATATTCTATTATATGCATAAGGCACAATTTTTTATAGACTCGTATTCTATTATATGCATAAGGCACAATTTTTTTCCGTTCTCCTGTTGATAGATATTTGGGTTGTTTCCACATTTGGCTATTATTAATAAAGTTGCTCTGAACGGCCTTTTTGTGGATGTATGCTTCCATTTCTCTTGGAAATTCTGAGGTATGGAATTTCTGGATTGTACTATAGTGATATGTTTAGCTTTATAAGACTTTGCCCAGAAGGTTTTTTTCTTTGCCAGAGAAGTTGCATGATGTTACACTCCAGCAATGAATGAGAGTTCTAGTTGTTCCATATCTTTGCCGACACTTGGTGTTGTCATCTTTTTGATTTTAGCTATTCCAGTGAGTATGAAAAGGTACATTGGCCAAAGCCTTAACCACTGCCTGATATTGCCATGGCCCTTTTTTGATTTAACCCATGATATAGTTACCTTGTTACATATCTGCCTCTCCTGCTAGATTATAAGCTCTTATAAAACTAAGATATTACCTTATTATTTTTATAGTCCTCCAAAGGCCTAACACAGTGCCTGAATCAGAAGAGGTGTTCAATAAATGCTCAATAAATTTTGGCTTGGAACACTTTCTCTGCATTTTTTAGACCAGGAGTGTAAAAGAGTCCTAGCCATGAGGAAAGGAAAAGTGAGGATAGTTAATATGGCAATGTGTGTCTGGTGATATATCCCAGGGCTCACTGGCAAGATCCAGGGTCAGCCTAGATTAAAAGAGGTTAGAAAATAAGAGTCTAGGGCTTATATCCCTTGTTGTGCATCAGAATCATATGGGGAGCTCTGAAAAAATTCGGCTGCCTTTGCCCTAAGACAGATATTTGGATTCTGTTGCTCTGGAGGTGGGTCCAGTCATTGATCTTTCATAGATGTTCCCTAGATGCCTCTATTGTGCAACTAGGGTCATGAACCACTGCTCTCAGTAGAATGGAGTGAAAAAATGAGAGGTTAACCTTGACAACAATCTAGTTCATTTGTTCCATATAGATAACAACCTAAATATGTCTCCCTCCGGGAGTGAGATTATCATGTTTAACCATATTTGTGAATGAAACTACAGTTGAATAACTGTCAACTATCTTCTTTATCCTTTGATCACCAATCACCTGTCATGCCAAAGAATTAAAAGGGCATAGCACAATTGTGCTAATATCAAAGGCATTTTCCATGGCTCTTAATAAACTCACTTCTTGAACCCCTAAAAGATGGCTACTCCAAACATGAATTCCCAACTATGTCAAAATAATTTGAGTCTAGATGTGACAATCAATGAAAAATGAAACAGAACTGGAGGAATTTAACTTGGTTTATCAAAGACTAGCCAAGATTGAGTGTTTGATGCAAAATTAAGAAATGGAGTCAACATATTTTTATTTAACATTTAACTAGATGTCGTAGTTGCGCTGTAGGTCTAAGAGACCTCTAGTTTGGTTCTTCCAGAGGGCCTGGCCCTGAACTTGACTCCAGAGTATTCATCTCCCCATAGTCGCTGAATGTGGCTCAGTAAAGGCATAGCCAGACCTCACCCCACTCAGTGAGAACGGGTTTTTCATTAGAACAACTCTACACATGGGAAAAGGAGGTTCACTTTAGAATACTCCCATGCATTTGCTTTCCTCTCCCATGGGACAATTGTTCTTTGATCTGAGATTTCAGTGAGGTAGACATAACAGAACTGGAACAATTCTTCCTCAGTTCTCCATCAGTTTTCTTTTCCTCACTCCAAGCTTTGTTACCTCCTTGCAGGACAGAGGGGAATGCCAAGGAAATGGAACAGGGAAAAGTAAAGGGGAAGGGAAAGAAGGAGAGAAAGGTGCTGAAAAGGAAGAGAGAGAAAACAATTGTGTGTGTGCAGTGTATGTAGGCACACAGAGAAAGAAGGGAGAGTTCTGATGACAGTAATGAAGAATTAGAATCAGAAACTGACCTAGGAGGATCCTTACACATCGTATAGTTCAACACCCTCATTTTAGAGATGAGAAAACCGAGTACAAGAAAGCATAAAGGATTTACACAAGGCGATGCAACAAGTCAGGTGGAGAGCTAGAAGTGAGAACTCAGGTGTCCACTACCATCTCCTCCTCAGTATTTCCCAATACTTCCCCTGCTGCCTCGTCAAGTCTCCAAGAAGAAACAGCCTTCTGCCTCCTCCTCATCACCCAGCCATACAACTCGGAGCTGGACAGGGCATTTCAACAAAGTTGAATAGACAGTTTGTGTGTTTAGGGGGGTGGTCTGAGCACGTGGTGGGCGGGGACAGTGAAAGGAAGCATTATGCTAAGAAGATCCTTTTAACCCAACTGTAACAAAAAACTTAAGCAAGCCTTCAAACTTTCCCCGGGCAGAGTTACAGAAAAGGAAGAGTTATAACACTTCTGATAATTAAATGGCACTCCTAAGAGATCGGTCATGTCTTCAGAGGTTGCGTTGCAAGACCGCTAATAACAGTGACACTAATGCGTTTGGGTTACTCTTAGCAATCTGGGTGTTTAATTCACTTCAACCATTTGTTCTGGGTCAGCAGAGGTTAACAAGCCGGTAGTGAATGTAAACATAATTGTATTTCTTTAGGCTAAGTTCGCAGTTTGAAGAGCAAGGACAAAGCCCCATCAATAATCTTTACTTTCTTCCAGAAGCAAAAGGTACGTGTTGCATAAATACATTGATACTCACTGTTGTGTTTGAAGATCCTTATAGTTGCACCTGAGAGTCGGGCCCCAAGCACGAGAGATGCATGGTTTAACTCATCACTTAAAATGAGGCATCCCTGTTCAGAAAACAAGCACACAAAACACAGGCCAATAAATAAAATTAAGGAAAAACATGTGGGAACAGGAAGACACTTGAAGTCCTATAACACAGATCTCCAAAACCCTCTTTAGTTTTAAAGGGCTAAGAGTTTAACCTGGTGTCTATATGGATAAAATCTGGTAGAGCAATTAGCTGATGGAGATGGGCATTGTTTTAGGGATCGCATCTTTAATCATTTACATATAGTTTTTAGCAGAGAAAATCATTCAAGATCCTGGCTAAGCACCAGCTGGCATTTTCTAAAGGACTGATGTTTGGCAGGAAAACTGATACACTTTTGGATGGGTTGTGGACTTGCTGGGGCTCTTTGATCCCAGGCTGGATTATTTGGGATGGTTTTGGTGTACTCCTTCTGGAAGGTAGGAGTCTTTTCTGCAGGACATTTCAAGCTCTTGTTTTCTGATTCTCATTCTCCACTGTTCTGACATCCATGATGTATGGCAATTCAGTCTGAGGCAAGTGGAAGAGGTCAATCGAATTTACTGATTATAAATTATGGTTTGTAAAATTATTTTTCTCTTTTAATTTAAAAATTTCTAAATTCTGAAATTGCTCAAGCATACCGAAAATGTAGAGACAAACTATGGTGCCCGTTTGTCTTTTGTGGCCACCCAGAGTCTTTGAGTTCTTCTTTATATTTTGGAAACTTCACACATGACGTGTTTTAAAGTTTTTGAGACAAGAGCCAGCAAAATTCTCACATCCTCATACTCTAGATGTGTGTGTGTATTTATAATGTTTTTATGAACATTTGAGAGTTACTTGTAAATCTCATGATACCTCACTCCTAAATTCTTTAGCATGTATTTACTAAGAATAATGACGTTCTCCTACAAAATCACAATGCAATTATCACACCTAAGAAATTCAACATTTGTATGACACTATCATCTAAGCTCAAATTCATATTTCTCTGATTGTCCTAAAAATGTCTTAAGGTATTTCATAGATGTTTTCTTTCTTTCTATTTTATTTCAGTGCATAATGCAATCAAAGCTCATACACTACATTTAGTTGTCATGAGTCAGATTTTTAAAAACATAAATCTGATTACGGCACTTGCTTCCTTAAAATGAACCAACCAACTCCTCATTTTTCTCAGAAAGAATTTCACACACCCTAGCATGATTTACACTAGAAGGCTCTTTGCGATTTGGCACCTGCCGTCATCTCTGGTCTCTTCTTCATCCACTACCCTATATTCTAGTTCTTCCAAACCTCAGTGCTTTACACATGCTGCTCCCTCTTCCTTGTCTTGAGGAAATAACTTATCTATCTTAACAGACAAGTAACAGGTTCAGTTCTCATGTCGCCCACTTTGCACAGGCATCCCAGCCTTTCTCAAGAAGAGTTTGGGGGCACTCTCTTGTCCTTTCCATGTATGCGTGTGCCTTTTCTGTGGTAGTCATCCTATTCTATTTGGTGTGTTGTTTCCCCCACTAGACTGTAAACTATGTAAACTTACCAGGCACAAGTCTTGTCCATCTTTGTATGCCTGGCATCTTGCCTCATATGAAGATATAGTAGATTCTCAATAAGTGATTTGTTGAACAAATAAATGAATGAATGACACGAGCAAAATGTTTTGTCCCAGTAAATGCTCGGTAAGTGTTTGTTACACTGCAAATGGGACTTGGGAGCCTAAAAATTGATTTTGATAACCAGCATCGTAGATGAAATTTGACCCACATCTAGGGCTGCAATTCTATAACTGGAATATCATGAAGAAGAGATTTATTTATTCAAAAAGCTGGGCATCCAATCTGCTTTTCCTAAAAAAAAGGACCTTCTCAGCCATACTTCTAACAAAGGGCTTGCTCAGAGTTATAATTCTCAGGAATAATACAGCAGAAGACAATCATGGTAACAAATTCTCACCTTTCCAACTAGTGCAGGGATATTCATCGAGTTAGTTGCAAATCCCATCCCAAAGACCATAGCTGCTTCTACATTCAGGAACTTAGCCACGAGCTCCTCCAACTCTTTATGCTTATCCAAGGTTCCTACACATGAAATGATAGGACGAGTGAGTCTTCTCTTTTCAACAAATCCAAGATTGAAAACTCAAATTCCAGTCCACACCCATCACCAAAAGACATGTACAAGAGTGAGCGTAGCAGGTATATTCGCTATCGCCCCAATCTAGAAACAACCCAAATGTCCATCTACTGTAGAATGGATAAATACATTGTGGGGGTATTTATATAGCAGAATTTAACAGAGCAATGAGAAAGAACAAACTACTGCCCCACACAGCAACATGAAAAAATCTCACAAATATGTGGTTAAGTGAAAGAAATAAGACACTTATACACTCCTACAGGCTGTTTGTAAGTTTACAAACAGACAAAACTGACCTATTGTGTTAGAAGTCAGCATAGTGGTTACTTTTGTTGGGAGCATGAGGAGAGCTTTGAGATTTTCTAAATGTTTTGGTTCTAGATCTGGGTGCTAGTTATATGGGTATGTTTGCTTTGTGAAAATCCATTGAGCTGTATACTTATGCTTGGTGCACTTTTCTATATGAACACTTTATAATGCAATAAAATTGACAAAAAATACCACAATTCCTCTCTCCCCTTACCCTATATCTCACAAGTAATTTATTAAGTAATAACCTCCTCAAAGGTTCCCCACGCAATGCAAAGAGATCCCATGACTTCCACATACTAATAAATCTAGTTATAATTTATGGAAACTTTGGAATGTGCTAGATGTCAAAGCCTACTATTTAGGTTATGCTGCTTAATCTCAAGATCCCAATAATGCAGGTATTATTACTTTACAGATAAGAAAACTGAACGGTAAAGAGGTCACAGATAAAAAGCAACAGAGATAATCTAGTCTAACTCCAAAGTTCTTCATGGTTTTACCACTCTGTTACGTTTTATATGCTTACTCTCTGACCCCATGTTATACATAATGCCTCATGCCTAACTGAGAGCAAGTGTTAATGCTCCCCATATTTTTCTGTTTGCCATCACTCTGACTTCTATATCTGCACTGTCCAATATGGTAGCCACTAGCTACACATATTTAGTGCAATAGAGGAACTGAGTTTTAAATTTTATTTAATTTTAGTTAATTTAAGTTCCAAAACAGAAGAACTGTAAAATATTTTCCACTAAACTTTATTATTTTGGTAGGATTATATTCCATTTATTTCACTTTAACCAATGAAAATTTAGTGTCTGAATTGAGAGAGAAAATATACACCATTCTTTGAAGGCTTAGTACAACAACAAAAATAACATAAAATAGCTCATTAATATTCTTTATATTGATTACATGTTTAAATGATAATATTTTGGATATATTAGATCAAATAAAATGTATTATGAAATTAAGTTTACTTTTTAAAAATTTTTTTAATGTGGCTACTAGAAAAATTTAAATTACACATCTTGCATTTTATTTCTGTTGGATGGTGCTGCTCTAGATGATACACTTAACAGAAGAGACAAATGTACAACTGGAGAGATGGTATAATGTGTATCCATAGAACGTAGGAGCAGATTTAACTCAGATTTAAGTTAAAAGAATATTGTTAGCACATTCAGGACTATTATAAACATGGTTCTTTCAACCTAAAGATCAACATATGTTACTTACAAAGTATGATATCAGAATTTTATTTCAGCTGGTGAATTAGCTTGCTTACTGTGCTTAAATGTGAGGGGTTAAACTTTAGAAAGCGTTGAATGATGAGTTCAAAGTTTTATTTTGCCTTTAATGTGGAAAAGGACATTTGATGGCCAATCTTTGTCCTTCCTGAGAGGTCACACTTTCATATAACAGATGGCTGGTGGCCTTTCTTCTCAAACCAGAATTTACCTCCCAAATTATCAGAAACCATAGTAAAACAAGTATTCTGGTAGAGTCAATTCTATTCAAGATTTGGCAGAAAAAGTTAAAAATTTAAATTGTAATTTGAAACTTTTTATGATCAAAGATATGTTATGGAATAAAAAGAGAAACTGAAATTTAAAGATAAAGCGTGGGCACATAATTATTTGTCAGATTTGTTTTTACCTAACAGAGACTGCACCACAAAGGGGGTGGCCCGGAGAATAGGTAGTGCAAAGACCACTGACCTGGGCATGAGCAGACTTGGGTTCTGGCTCCAGCTCTTCCACTAACCAGCTGAGTGGCCTCTCACTACCTCTCCTAGAAGTTTCTGGAGAATTTTGGAGAGGTCCTGTTTTAGGCTTCCCTGATGTTGGAAGCACTCTTTCCTCCACATAGAATGGTCTTTTTGCAGCTCCCACTCACTATTTGAGATCCACCTAACATGAGATCTTTCCTTGCATGACGTTCTCAGTTTCCCCAGGCAAAGTTGGTCATTTCCTCTCCTGAGATCGCATAAGCTTCATCACATAAGGATTATACCGTTTACTAACTTGAGCTGAGGGTGTTCATGGGGCAATCTTCTCTATTACAGAAAGAGAATGCAGGGTGCAGATACTATGTGTGAGATGTTTGTCTTGGCAACCACAGCACTTAACACAGTACTGACATATAGTAGGTGCTTGTTGAATTGCATGCTGTCTTTTGATGGAGATGGAAGACCCAGGACTGAGCCTAGGGTAGGGCATGACACAGGGAAGAAGGTCAAGAAGCCATGTAATGCCAGGGCAACAAGGTGACTAGGCAGTGAGCACCAGCTGGAAAACACCCATACCTGAAGAAGGCCTCCAGCAAGAAGGGAGGGTGCCCAATCTTCGTCAACTTGGTAACTTTCCCCATGAGCCTTTCCTATACAGAGGGTCAGGGGACGACTCTGTCCTGGCCCAGTCACCCAGAAGTGCATGAGTAGAAGTTCATGATGAATCTTGGCTATGTCTTCCTCCACCTTCATCTTCCCCAAATCTGCCATCCCAGGGGTCTATCTACAACAGTTGCATCACTAAAACTCCTTAGGACAATATGGGATGTGTTGTAAGCAATAAAACAGTCAACCCCCTAATGAGAACTGGGTGTGCCTAAGAACATCCTGAAAAATTGCCCTCTATGAGGTATCTATTATTAGGCCTGGCTTAAACAGAGGGAGAAGAGAGGAAGTGCAGGTGTCCATATGAGGTCTCCAGATACCAGCCTTCTTCTGGATTTCCAGTGGTCAAGTGGTTAATAAAGTAATTTTCAACTATACCAATTTCTATGACCAGATGTCTCACAGCTGAGTCATGAATGGTTTTGCATTTAGGGGATTACTTTCATTTGTAGAGAACAACCATCTCAACTCCCAACCCCCACTATCATGGAATTTCTCTGTTTAGCATTCACAGCTCAAATTTCCTAAACAAATTTGAGAGATTCCCAGGATGGCTAGACATTTTCTACTTCAGAAAGCCACGCTTTCAAAGTTAGAGTGGGCTGGTCTGGGGTGGGGTGGGGTTCCTTCAGGAATAATAAAAAGTACGGCTCATTTGTATTAATTGAGTGCTGCTTTCCTCCTCTTCCTCTTCAGATTCAAGAAATAAAAATTAGGAAGACTTTAGGGAAACAAAGCAGTCACTAGAAACTTAACCAGCTTGCTTTCGACAAACATTCAGGCCATACCCTGACTGAGTTGAGGTGCCTGAGTCATGTCAAGTTGCATGGTCTGAGTTTCATGCATGGTCTGAGTACTTGAGTAGTTCTAGAAGTTGTATTCAACATTTTGTCTTTGGTATATAAAAATGGGCATTTTTTTAATCCCAGGAATGTATGGCTATAGTCCTAACTGAAGGTACAAATAAATTCACAATAATTTTTATATCTGTTTCTCTCTATAACTTTAGTCTTTTCTTTAGTCTCTGAAGGTCAATAACAGCCACAAATTGGCTAGTGACAATGTATCTCCAAATTGCTTTGTTGTGCATATATTGACACTTGGTCTCATCCTGGAGGTTTATTTATCCAATGGGATACTGAAAACCTGCTTTGTGAATAAGAGAATAAATACAAGCTGGATGTATGTTCTTGCCAGCTCTCGGCAGTATTTTCATGTGCCAAGCATTGGGTTTACCATCATCAGTCAAATCAATAAAAACCAGATTCAAGAAATAGTACCAAAAATATGTTTATGAACTGTATAATTCTGCTGGATTTTTATTGATATCTACTGGCTCTTAGTTTTTAGGCAGAACATAAAGATTGCTGGCCTTAATATTGACACGGATTAGTAGTAAAGAGTGTGGGTGTTATTAACAAGCCTGTTTCACAACTACCAATTCTTTTCGTGTGGCACATGTGAAGACTATTTTCCAAACTGTGACATAGTCACTTTTCATCCAGAAATATCCTGTTTGTAGATTGTTCCTTATACTTGACCTAGGAGCAGGGTGTCATGTATCATGGCAACCTCCCAGCTGGCTCATCTGGCTGTTCAGTTGTTGTCGTGGCTATCAGTCCACATCTGAGCCACTTTGCCTGAATTGGTGATTCTTGCATTAAAACCATCATCAGCCCTTCTGCCTAAAGGATTCCACCCAAAAGCTTATCACCCAAAAGCCCTTAGAATACACTGCTCTCTTCCTTATTCCACTTGTGTCCAGTCTGGTGGGGGTTATGGAGCTAGATGCTCTTGAGTAGCTTTGTTTATCTGTAAAACATTCAGAGAAAGTCTGAAAGAAGCCAGATGTGATGTCTGAAATGGGTTTAGAACACGCTATCATACTGAATGTAGGCCACTGCTGATGTGTTAAGAAACCTTCCATCCTGATGAAGTCCAGTAAAATAGAAGAAACAACTTTTATCTGCCTGCCTACTCAGACCTTCATTTTTAACAAACCACTTTGTCACCTGTTGACAGGTTAAAACATTAGTAGATAATTAGAATCTGATGCAAACAAAGACCTTAAGTGAGGCATGGATATATAATTATGGTGAATCTTCCTGTCACAAATAATCCTGATAAGGGAAGAATTTTTTAAGTAGACCAAATGATGATCTCAACCTCACCTCAGGGGCCACGTGTTCAATAGATTCATGTTCTCACCCTTCTTCTTTTTTTTTAATGCTT